ATATTTATTTTTTTTTTTAAGCTTTAAGCTTTTATTTTCTTATTATATAATTTGATAAATTCTTGGCTTGCTTCTGTAAGCTTTATATTTAGATTTGTTTTAGTATCTTCATTTTTAATTTTAGTTTTCTTAATATTAACTATTAAATTTTTTAGATTTATTAGTAGATGGCTTTTATTTAAAATACTAATTTTAGTTATAATAGTAAAATCTTTTATATTATCAATAATATTTTAGTATTTTTTTCTATTATTTTACTTATTGTTTTCTCTTGTTTTTATTTTTTTGGATCTGTTTGTTGCACTGTATTATTTAAAGCTTCTTTTTTTAATTTTTTTTCTAGTTTAAAGTAGTGATCTTGTCTGTATGTTTTTATTAAGTAATATATAATTACATTTTATATACAATAGTTTATCAATAAAAGTACAACTAGTAAGAGTGTAGTGACTTAGTAAAGTGAATAAGTTGTCAACTTTTAAGTAATAAGTTGTGAGTTCAAAACCTACTGATGGCAAAAATTTAAATAATCATTTATGTAATATTTATATTATAGTAACTGTTTCTAATTATTAGATTAAGATATTTGTAATTATGATTATACTAGCATGACTGATAGGTTATAAGACATTTGTATAACTGATTACACAAAGGAATGCAAACTAGCATCAAGTGATGCAAACCCAAAATAAGTTCTTGTGACCATGTAAATCTGTAAAAATTAAAAAACAAAAAACCTATTTAGAAAGATTCAAGTAGAAAGATAACATGAATTTTTGACAGTACTACTATAAAGGCTAAATCTAGAAAACAGATACCAATATGGAGTATCTAAATAGGCAAAAACCTTTGGGTTGGGATACCACTAAGCAGGCCACTAGAATTCTAACTGAGAAGATCAGAAAAAAAGAATATTAGACTGATCTAATATACTAATGAATTAGTCATAGTTCTATCAGACTATCTGAATTAGGAGTTTAGAGAAAAAACAAGAATATACTATAAGTACTAGAGATATATTGTGAAGTAAGTGCTAGGTCTGAAGAAACTTTGTAAGAACAAGTTCTGTTAATATTCTATAGAGTGGGTAAGTAGTTAACAGGAAGGCATTCTAAGCTCTATAGTCAGATGACATGTTCTAAAATTAGGTAATAACTTAATAGATATATAGAAGAAAGGCATAATATTAGGTTAATAGCATTTAGATATACAGAAACTAAGGTAACTAATTGTCTAAATACAACAGGGTGTGGTGACTTAGTGAAGTGGATAAGTTGTCATACTTTCAAGTAGTAGGTTGCGAGTTCAAAACCTACTAACAGTGAAATTTGGATAATCACCTATGTAATATATAGATGGTATTATAGCAACAGCATTCTGTCGATCAGTTGGAATAGGATACTTGTAACTATGGTCACACCAGCATAACTGGCAGGTCTGGAGCATCTGTGTAATCTGTTATACAGAGGAATGCAAACTGGTACTGGGTGGTGCAAACCTAAAATAAGTCCTCGGGCCATGTAAATCTGTAGAACTAGGAAGCCGGAGCCTACTTGAAAATTCCAAGCAGAGAGGTAACATGAATCTTTGACGGTACTATTGTAAAGGCTAGACCTAAGAAATAGATACCAATGTGAAGAATTCGTGCAGGCAAGAACTTCGGGTGAGGGGTACTACCAATCAGGCTGCTGGATTTCAGACTAGAGGAAAAAAATATTGGGCCAGCCTCAATATACTAAGGACAGATCACAGTCCTTCTAGGCTATCTGGATTGGGAGTCTGGGTTCAAAGCAGGGGTATACTAAAAGTACTAGAGATATGCTATAAAGTCAGTACTGGGGTCTAGGTGAACTCTGTAAGGGTAGCTCGTGTTAGTGTTCTAAAAGTGGGTAGATAGTTAACAATAGAGGGCCCCTTGCGCCTTACTGACAGATAACGTATTTTGAAATATGTAATGGCCTAGAAACCAGTACAAAAAGAGTAGGTATCATACTGCTCAGATGGTATACTGGGTAGGTATATATAGGGGGTTAGTTTGGAGATTTCAATATAACAGAGCAGATGATCAAAGGGTTTAAATGAATAATCTTCTAGTAGGTTATAGGTATAGCATCTAGTGTAGAACCTTAGAGCGGACTACTTAAATAGGCAACCAAAAGTTGTACATGTGACTAGCTGTACTCTTATCTCTGTAAAAATAGTTGTAATAGCTAACCTAATATAAAGTTAATAAAGTATCACAACAAGTATGGCCTTAGCAAAAAAAAAAAATAAAAAAAAAATAATTGTCTAAATACAGTATAGAAACCAAAGTGTTTAATTAGATAGTCTCTTAGTAGATTATAGGTATAATAGCTAGTATAGAACCTTTGGGCAAACTACTTGAATAGATAATCAAAAGTTATATATATAACTAGTTAAATACATATGTTGTACAAGTAATATATAATGTATTAACTAAAAACACAAATAAAAACATTAGTTACTATTAATATTAGTCTTAATAATAAAAAAAATACAAATATTTATATATATAATTTTAGTTATTATCTAATTAAGAGTTCTACTTATAGGTTATCTACTAGATGTCATATCTGGACTTACCTCTGAGTCTCTTATTTAAACTTTTTAATTTTTAATATTATTTGCATATATATATAATACTTTAAATTACTATTATACTAATATATTAAGTTAGAGCTATTTAATTGTTATTTATATCAAAGTATCATCTTATTGGATATTACTAAGTATTCATAGTTCTTTAAATTTATTTTTAATACAAACTTATTAAATATAGTACTAAGATTATCTCTTAGATTTTTATTCAACTTTAGTATATCCTATATCTATTAAAACTAGTATTAGTATCAAAAATGTTTGAATTTCAATAAATTTATTTTTTTCTTATAGTTTTCTTTTATATTTATTGTATCATCTACTAGTGCACTTTTTTTTCATTTCTGATATGTTTATCATTTCTTTATATTAAGTGCCAACTCTTCATATTAGAAAACTTCTTTCTGGAAACTTTTTTATATACTGATCTTCTATTTATATGAACTTAACTACAGAGTTTCATATATATTTATATGCTTTTATAGATTACAGAGTTTTTTCATCTAACTAGAATTGAATCATTAACTTTGTTTATAAAAAAAGGATGTCTAAACTACTAAGTTATAGAACCCAATCTTTTTTTTTTAATTTTATTCTATTTTTTTTTATATTACTTATATTACTTATATAATTAAGTCTAAATTAAGTTGTATTATTCTTGTTTTTATTGTTTATTTTTTAATTAATGTTTTTTCAAGACTTTGGTTTTAATTCATCTTAGAACCTCAAGTACTTAATCATAAATTAGTAAGTTTTAGTTTGTAATTTTATTTGGATTACCAATTGCTATATTGTATGCTATTTATTTTATATTATTTGAACTATATAATGTTGTATTTTTAAATATTTTAATTAATATATTATTATCTATATAATTGTAATTTTTTTCTTCTGCTTCTTAAATAAACTTAAGTAACTCCTGTTTATATAATTTACTTATCTTAATCTTAAAATCTAAGCTTAAATTAATAATCAACTAGTATCTACTTATTACTACTACTATTATTATCCTAGATCTTTTTTAAAAAATACATACTTTTTTTTGTTGTTTAGGTCATTTGATTTTTTGTTTATCTTTAATCTTTATTTATTTGCCAAAAATAGAATGTATACTATTGTTTATTACTTTGTTGTTTACATATTTTTGTATAATCTAATTTGATCAGCTATACAGAATCTTTAACAAATTTATTATTTTTTTAAAAAGTTTTGACAAAAAGAAAACTAAATAATTTTTATATTTTAAGTTGTAGTTAAAAAAAACTGCTGTTAATAAACTTTATGTAATTTTTTGGGGGTTTTTTTTTTTTAAGATGTTAGAGCAGGTTTTCTAAGCTAGTTTTGACTAATTGTTGCTGCTCTTGTTTTGTCTGTTTTTGAAAAAAAGAATCAATAAAATAAGTTTTTTGTTGACTACAAGTAATAATTATAACTATAACATTATTATAAAAATAAAAAATAAAATAATAAAATAGATAACTTTAATAAGGCCAACTAATAATTAAAAGGTTTAAATTTCTAATAAGTTAAAAATTTAAAAAAAACTAAAGTAATATTTGAACAATTAAATCAAATAAATTTAATAAATTTTTGTTAAATTAAATAAAAACAAAATATTTACATGCAACTCAAATATTTTAATAAATAGAAACAGGATTGCTAAATTATAAAAAAAACAAATAAATTTGTATTACAGTTTAAAATTAATTTTTAATGTTTATAATAATATATTTTAATAAAATTAATTTTTTATAAACAATAATTAAATATTAATTAAATTTAATTAGTTGATTCTATTTAATATAAAAAGAAGAATTTATTTCTTATCCGGATAAGTCTTACTTTTCTATACTAAAACTTAAAAACTATTATCTTAAAATTTTACTAACCCGATTGTATAACATAATCAAAAATATTCTCGCAATTTTATCTTAGTCTAACTTTAACTCTAACCTTAATTCTTTAATGTTTTAATATAACCGGTGGTTTCTTTTATACTTAAGAGAGTAGATAACTTACATAGGGGTCAAATAAATTGTTTCAAATATAAAAATATATTTTTATATTTAAACATTATTATTATCCTTAATAAAATAATTAACAATTTTTTAAAAATACCGTTTTTAAATTGTTTAACTTTGATAATATTAAATTTTCTTAAAAGATAAAATTTAACCTTTTATTATTATTTAAGAGTTTTTATTTATATTCATATATTTTCTATAGAAAGTACAGTACATTACTAAAGTTAATATTTCAAAATTTATTTTAGAAACAATATTTTTTAAAAAATTTTAGAGCAAACAGGCAGGAAAACAGCTTAAGGAATACTGTAAATATTAGGACATGGTTTACTCATAAGATTAAATATTTAACACGAAACGTTAGACAGTTGCTTGTTTTAAATAAGCAATCACATCGTTACGATCTTGTTCTTTTTTAAATCCTGCGAATGCCATTTTAGTTCCGGGAATATATCTAAGTTCAAATAAATAAAAGCCATTAATAAGGGAATAATATATGCAATCAAATAGGTTCAACATTTGTAGATACTTTTTGGGGTTTTCGAGGTAATCAAACAATGTATCTTCCCCCCAGATTACTCCTTTGTTTTGGTTTGCAGCAGTATAGGTAAATCCAGGAGCCTGGCCGGATTTTCTGCCAAAAAGGCCATGGAGATTTGGTCCAGTTTTATTACTACCACCTTTTTCGACCGTGTGGCACTGGGCACAACGGGTCTTGAAACTAAGCATTAAGGTTAAAAAATTTACAAATTCAAAATATCCAAAACTGAAATTAAGACTAAATTTGAAATATCAACTTACAGTTTGGCACCGACTACGGGATCAGCTTTAGCTAGTTAATGAATCGATGTCAATAAAACGGTGTTAAATTGTTTTGTTATAGATTAATGTTAATTTATTCGAAAATAATGATTGAAAACTCACAGGCGTTGAAAGGCATGTTCTAGTGAGACAACAGTAAGAAGATTTTTTTTGATGGTTATATATTTCTATATATATATTTTTTTTTTTCAGAAATAATTATTTTGGGATATGACACATTGATGGTTCCCGAATAATTCCGATTGCAACTTACGATCCTTTTCTTTTTTTAGATTTTTGCGTTTAGATCGGAGTATCTAAGTCTTTAATATCAGGAGACTACCGTAATTGGCTGATGTATATACATTTTTAATGTCCAAAACCAATCATCGGATTTTAGCGCTATTTTTGAACAAATAGCTACGTAGCGACATCGTTGATTTGTATTAAGATGCGTTTTTTTCTTATTAACTCGTGACTATTGCTCTTGTTCTTCGAATAATTAATTGTGTAATAACAACTATTATTATGAAATTGATATTTCTACACCCTTTTTTTTATTGCCACACCCCTGTTAATAAAAATCGATATAATTATTGGGTTTTGGTTAGGTTTAGAGTTAGCAGGGTGTGACAATATCAAAAAAAGGTGTGGAAACATCGATTCCCTAAAGATATTATGAAAGAAAAATGTAATAATAACAATTACAGTATCACCAATATCAAATGAACGTTTTTTTTAAAAATGCTATGACCACTTTTAGATCGGTATGAGATGATTTTTATGATAGCGAAGAAAAATTTATTGTTCCTTCTGTAAATACTGTGTTGCTCTATCATCTGTTAAAAGTATTCAGTGTTTTAATCTTCAACAAGATACTTCACGACACGATTCGTCAATTTTTTCTGATATTTGGAATTTAAAATCCATCAAATCAAATTGGATGTATATTGCAATATTATAGAAAATTATAAAATTAATATCAGATTTAATTTATAATATTGGAAGGACAAATTATATGCCTTAGATATTGAACGTTCATTTTCAAATTATAAATATATTTTAGATGATAGACGAAGAGTTCTTACCAAAAAAAAATGTAGCTAGGTTAAATTGTTATATTTTAATGAACATAGCTTTAATGATGATATAGATGAATACGGAACCCTTAAACCAACACTTTTTTTAAAAGTGGTCAAATTTGAGACAAAATACTAAATTGTGATTGGCTAATATTTGAAATTTGTTTTTTAAAACTATTATATTTTTTAAATTTTTGTTATGTATTTATATATATGTGATCAAATTTTTATTTTATTAATAACTTTAAAAGAAAATAACATTATAAATTTTGTTATAATAAAACAAACTTTATAGCTTGTTTTGCTTATTTTGTTGTATATTTTTATAAAAAATTGTTTTTTTTAACTACAGTGCGAAACAGCTAAAGATATTCACTTTTCCGTAATACACCAAATTTTAGAAAAATTTTTATGATAAAAATGACAAATAAAATCTCAACCAATCAAAATTCTTAAAATTATATATACATATTAAAAATTTTAAAAATTTCTCTTTCAGATTTGTTATTTAAATAAAAAACAGTAAATTTAAAAGAGAAATTTTTATTTCAATTTGGTTTAAAAAAGTTATAATAAATTAAATATCTTTAACTATTTTGCATTATATATTTTTTATTTATTTATAAAATTTTAAAAAATTATCAATTTTGTTGGTTTAAGAATTTTTTGCATTGTAATATTTAGAATATAAAATGTCTATAAATTTTTATAATAAGTTTTGTTTTCAATATTAAAATAATCTCTTGGGTCTTTTGATTTTATATATTAAAATATGTTGAATAATGTTGTTTATACAAAACAAGAATACAACTGATTACATATAGAATTTTTTTTATATTACTTATTTAAGAAGTCTGTCTAAAGGTTTTTATCAATTAACATGTTTAATATTCTTACTTAAATGTTCTATTTTAAATTTTCAATTTTGCATTTTAGTATTAACTTTATTAAGTTATAGTTTGGATTTTTAATTTAACCTTAAAACTAATTTATTCTTGAGACAAATTTATAAAATTCTTCTGTATCATATTTTTATAATTAACCTAGTTTTTAATTTTTGTAAAATTTATACAATTTTAGTATTTTTTTTTTACAACTTTACTAATATTTTATACACTTTTGCAAGTTTTTCTATATTACTAATTCAGTTAGTTTTATATAATCTAACTTTATACTTAAATTAATTGTAGTCAGATTAGTAATACTTTTTATTTAAAGATTCTTGCTTGTACAAATTATCTATTTTGAATTTTCTTCTTTGAATCAAGGTTTTTACAAATAGTATTGTCAAAAATTATACTATCTCTTTATTTGAATTTTCAAACAAACTTTTATATGAATATATATTTTTAGATTTATTTATATTACATTATATAATTTTTGTTAAAAATGTCAAAATAAAAATTTTATTAAGTAATAAAAATAATTATATTAAATATTTCTAAGCTATATTTGTGTTACTTATTTAAAATATCTAATATAATATTACACTTTTATTTCTATATAATACTATTATTAATTATTTTAAATTAATTTTAAGCATGAGTGTAATAACTTAGTAAAGTGGTCAAGTTGTTGCATTCAAGTAACAAGGTTTAAGGTTCAATTCTCACTGGTGCTGAATATTGAATATTAAAATCTTGTATGCCTTAATTGATATATTGACTTAATTAGAAATGTTGGCTTATTGGCTGCAATTTGTAATATAAAACCAAGTAAAGTTAGTAACAAATCTGCAATAATCTGTGTTATAATATTCATATCTAAAAGCTTATAACTGCAAAGAGTTTCTAATTAGAAATATAGAAGAATACAAGCTAATATATATAGATATACCTCTAAACATTGTAAAATAGTTAGTATAAATATAAAATAAATTTATATTAGGTTACAATAGTTTTATATTAAGAAATCTACAAAAATACTAATTAAGAAATTTATATAAAAAGTCTAAGTATAGTGTTCATATTTGAAAACTTATAATTGTAGAAAGTTTTTGATTAGAAATATAGAGAAATACAAGCTAATATACATAGATGTATCTCTAAACATTGTAAAATAGTTAGTGTAAATATAAAATAAACTTATATAAAAGTTAATATAAATATATAAAATAGGAACTGTATAGCTTACCTAATATTATTATTACATAAACAATAAACAAAAATAGACACAAACCAATTGTCTTTTACAAACATATAAATGCAACTACCATCTTACTAAAAGATTCAACTGATTGTAGTTAGTAAGGAGAATGATATATAGAGGCAAATAATTAAGTCTTTATATATGAAATATCAAGATAATAACAATTAGATCCAATGTACAGAGCAGACTATAGTATTTTGAACAGCTGTAAGAGCTAAGTATACAGTGATCAACCTTGTAGAAGACAATCTCAAAAAATCTCTCTCAAGATCTTTAAATCTCTATGATCTTTACACATGTTTTAATAAATTTTTTCTTCATTATAATTTACTATTCCTTTCTTATGACCAAACTATTCAATCTCTTATACAACATATTAATAAATATAACTACAATAATATTATTTTTAGTGTTGCTTTTTCTGTTAATAATATCTATCATAAAACTTATATATATCTTCCAAATAACTTTTTCTTATCTAAGCATACTGTTATTTATTTTTATTTTCTTCTTATCTTTTATAATCATTCTTTTAGATTAGATTTTTCTAATTCTACTTCTATTCTATCTGATTTATTTCTTAATAGTCATACTATATTACAAATATCTACATTTATATAATCTTTATATGACCTTCATTTAAATATTTGTATATACAATATTAGAGATTATAACATAATAAATAAAAGAGAAGCTTAGCAAAATTATTGTTTTCACAATAATATTCATGTTTTTTGTATTACTGAAACCAAAATTACTAACAATACTAACTTTTAATTCTATAATAACAACTTATTTACTTACTTCTAAGCCAATTCAGAAAACTTAGCAAAAAGTGTTGTTATTATAATTTAAAAATATTTATAACCACTTGTATACAACTGCTAAACACACTTTAGTGAAGTAATTGCTTTAGATCTTTTTTTCAAAAATGAAATTAAACTCTGATTTATAACTGTCTATCTCTCTTTTACTAATATAAAAAAATATAACAATACACAAAATATTGTTATTACATAGATTTAATAAGCTCTCTAATACAATTTTTATCTAATAATACTTAAAGACTTTAATATACATAGTAATATCTGTAGCTTATTATCTAAATTCAAATTTATTAATTATTTATATTACTTTAATTTGTTTAATCTTGATGCACATATTAACAACAAGCACTTTATATAGTTAAATAATACTAGTTATAGTCACATTGACTATATCTGAACTAATTCATACAATATTCAATTCTTTTTCTATACAAACTTGATAATAACAATATCTTAATACTTAGTAATTACTTTATTCTTATATCTACCTGAACTTTTACTAATGCATATAGTAAATCTCTATATTACTATACTAATATTAGTTATAAAATCTTTAACTATAAAGCTATATCAACTGATAAATAGACAGAATTCTTTGATCTTTTTTCTTACAATCTTAGTCTTCACAATACATCATTCAATAGCAATACTAATAAAAGCATTGAAACTATTTGACATAAGATTGAATACTCAATAATTAATATTACAATTTACTCTATTTCTAACAAAAAAAACTTATAAATGTAACTACAATCAATTAATACTTTTTTTACTCTATCTTAATCTATATATTATTTAAAAAGCTTAAACATCTAATAAAAATTGTTAAAAACACTTACAACAACCTTAACATGAACATAATAAACTTTAGAATTAAGATTATCAATAATAAATTCTATTGTAACCTTTAAACTTTTAATTCAGATAATTATTCTCAAATTCATACATGAACCCAACATGTGCAAATTATTTAGAAACAACTTTATCATACTTATTATACAAAAAACTTATTACTACTTTGTCAAGAAATCTAACAAGCAACTAAAAAGAGATATGAAACACTTTTAACATATCCTAAATAA